TTAGGGTGGCGGAGGAACGCAGGGAGGTGGTGAAAGCCACCTGCTTCTGCACCTTGCAACGGTGTTATGAGAGCCAGGAAACCAACCTTAGCTTGGCACAGTCTGTCCTCTCTGTTTCACAGGCGTGCTACTGTGAAAGCTGCAGTAGATACACCGTTTGCCCCTTCTGACCAAGAGTGTAGATCTGAGGCGTGTGCCAGTATCACGTTCCTAGGTTGCTAGTAAAAGGTGTAGTTTAATTAGCTCAAAGCATGTCCAATTAGTAATCAGAAACCTTTGCCCTGAGCGTTTCTTCTTGAGCTTAAGACATCAAATTAATTTGGAAGCCTGAAAGCATTGTCTAAGGTACACTATGTGACTTAGCAAAACAAGCATGTCCTAGGGGGTAGCTGTGCACACCTCCCAAGCCAGAGTACACCTTCCACACACTGGTCAAGTTACGGCTATCCTGACTGGTAGCTACAGTGGTATGAATTTTACTGGTATTGTTTCCAAGTTCTGTTTAATAGGACTTCAAATACTGACTTCTCTGAAGACTTCAAGTGTTGCTGAGAACCTAAAACTACAAAAACACTTTGCCATAAGTTGAAGTTTGAATGAGGAAGAGACAAAAACATTAAAGCTACAACACGTGGTGACTACTTTTTTTTCTGCAATCTCTTACAGGAAGATTAAGGTGCACTGTGCAGAGCCATTTACTGAGTACTGGACGTGCATTGACTATACCAACTTGCAGGAGCTCCGTCGATGCCGAAAGCAGCAGGCAGTATTTGATAACTGTGTGCTGGAGAAGTTGGGTTGGGTGAGACCTGATCTGGGACAGCTCTCTAAGGTAACTTCATACTGTTTTGGTTGAATAGCCAGATTCTTCTCTCCCTTCTTATGGATGTTTTGTCCAGACCAGGTCTCAAACCCTTCTCCTGGCCAGGTGGTGGTTCATGAACTTGTGGACTTTGCTAGAAGTCAAGACTCTGTTGGCATTCTCCAGAGTTACTTTTCCAGAAGACTTCCACTTTTCTTAGACAATGCCACTTACTGTTATTTTTCTTGCCTTTCCTAGCACACAGACCTTTCCTTTAGGAGTGAAGCTTGCTCACTCCTTGAACTACTCTGTAGCTATGAGTGAAATGCTTCTCCTCTCTTTTTTTTTTTTTTTAAAAAGTGCTCTGGAGGTAGGAGCTCTCATCAGATCAACAACGTGTGCTTAGTGTCATTTGGTAGTACTTTAAGTTCTGCCTTGATCTAGCTTTTTTATTAAATGCTGTGAGAAGTTGTATAATTTCTTCTTTTTTCTTTCCAGGTTACGAAAGTGAAGACAGACCGTCCTTTGCCTGAGAATCCCTATCACTCTAGAGCTAGACCAGAGCCAAATCCACCCATTGAAGGAGAGCTGAAGCCTTCCCCGTTTGGCAGTAGGCTCTTTTTCTGGCCCTGGTAAAGGGTGCAGACTGAGCTGTAACTCAAGAGCAAAGATGTATTGCGTGCAAATGTAAATTGTCCAGTATGTGTTGGGTATGACTTTAATGATTAAAGAACCCCACACTGTCATGGCTTAGCAGACTTCTTTAAACATACTCACACATCGTAGCAACTAAAAAAAATGTATTTCCCTGTTTTGCACAGTGCAGTCTGCAGTCACATAGCCCTTAGGACCATCTTAACGCTGTTAATGTCAGTTCCTTGGTAGTGGCTTGTCCGAGGTGTAAGTGTGGCTGAGTCTTTGACTGCTGCTTCAATCAGTCAGAAACTGGCACGAGACTTTATTTACTCACTGAGAACACCGTCACTTGGATCAAGGAAACTTTGAGAACAAACAAGTCGTTAATGTCTTCCTTTAGTCCTGCAATGGACAATTGTGCATTTTTTTTCCAAGGGACTCCTTCTGTATAGGTTTAACCTAAAAACTGTCTTGGAGCAAGGATTTGGTCTGAATTTGCTAGGTACTGTTTCTGGCATAAAGATCCTCGTTCGACTTACCAGCCACTCATTCCTCGTGCAGCTAGGGTAGTGGCTTCCATTTTTTTATTGGGGGAATACAAGCTACTTCGTCAGAAAAATCACACTACATTTTTGTAAGGAAAAATTGTCTCCTAAAGGGTCTTCCTGGCCCATTAAGCAGCCTAAGAAGGTGACTTGTCTTCTGTCTCTAGGCCCTGGCTCGAGGGGTTTGGGGCAGATCCTTCCCATTGATTCACTGTGATATTCTGTTCGATAGAGGAGTAAATTGGCTTTTTTGAATTTCTCTTTTCTACAATACCTAGAAGTCTTGTGTTTCATGGGAAGTAATCTAGTTTTTCCTCCACTTCCACCCAATAGCAAGAACCTTATTACGAGCGTCAGAAAGAGTTAAGTGACCTTATTTTCACAAAGCTGTGTGCAGTTTAGCTCGCTCTGGGCCGGCGTGTGTAGCTTGAACCGAAGCAAAGACTTGAATAGTGCTTTGCTCCTTGAATAGCCTAGCTGTTACTAGGATCTGAAGATCTACCATCTCCTTGTTTGAGGTAGGATTAAACTGGAATGGGTATGTAGCTGCAGCATGTGTTTCTGATACGTGGAGCGAGAGGGAAAATTGTAGCACGTTTATCTAAAAATAGCTCACGCACTGTGTGGCTGGTGGGTTCTTGCTACTTTCTGCTCGGGTGTGTTGTCTGAAATTCAAAGCAGGTGCTATGACATACGTGTTTGCATTTTAATTTTGCATTTACTGTGCTGTCATAGCAGCTCCTCGTCTAAATCTGTGAGATGGTGTGCACCTTTGCACTTTCTCCTTCCAGATCACTGCCAGCATTTCAGAGCAGCCATCTATTACTGAAGAAAGATAACCCCTCTTATGCAGAGATGGAAATTAGGACAAGCTTGAGGTCTAATTACATTCAGCTGAGTGAGTGAAATGAGGTTTGGCCAAGTAGAGGATAAATTGTTCTGGGATGTTAACACGTGTCACATCTGATCTTTTGTTGCTGACCTACTCCAGTCCCTTGCAGAAGGACTTTTTAGATATTACTTACTGTGTTTTGCTAATAACTTACTATTGTCAGCATAATGTATGAAACATTGCACTGCTGAACATCTGCTTTTGAATAAACAGGCATGGGCATTCCAGTAGCCAGCCTCTAATCATAATTAAAGAGTATTTTTCCCATTAAATTGTTTCTGAAAAGAATGACATGCATAGGTAGGGGGGCAATTTTTTTGAACAGTGTTTGAAGAACCTCACCCTTCAGTTGGCAAGTACTGGAAGCAAAAACCACAAGTGATTTATGCTGCAGCCTCAAAGGTTTAAGATTGTCCGTCTGTTTCATCACAGCTGAATCTACTGCCTCTTGGGTCAGAGGTGGTTGATCCAGTAATGATGCGTTGACCATGTTTAAAAGTCAGAATTAACTGTCTGCTTGCCTAGATTCCCACTTCAGTTTCAAGCGGGAGTGGGCAGGTGAAGGTACAAAAGAACAGCGGAGGAGGACAGCGAAGTGATAAAGTCAAGTAGAATTCAGCTTTGCTGTGAGCGCTTCTTTCATTAACCTCTTTGAGATAATTGCTTCTTGTCTTTATCTCTTGGCTGAATCTCTGTGAAAAAGTGTTGCCAGAGGTCTGTTTCGTGGTGCTTTGGACAGGGCCTGTGTGTAGCTATTTCTGTTCAAAACCGTTGTGTGGCTTTACTCAAACATTAGATGCCCCCTTTGGAGCCGTAATGTTTTCTTGGAAACTTTAGAACAAGTGAATGTCAAGACTGAGTAAAGACCATAAAAGTATTTTTGAGGAATGTATCTTGACATTTTTTTGACAGATGGAGAGCAGATGCGTACAGATTCAACACAGATATTTTACTGGCGATGCGAGAAGTGTTATTTGTTATGTTATAGACCCTTAGCTCTGCCAAAGTTTCTAATCACGTGTGCCAAATTAACAAAATGTTAAAGCAGTGTCATGGTAGCTTGCCACACCATGGGTTAGATTAGGCAGAACCCACTCCGTTCTTCCAGATTATGGATGGGAAGAGTAAAACCCCAGTGTAACGTCTAATCTAAGTAAAGTAGGAGCTTGCATTTCTGTTGCAGCAGAACTGTGTGCCGTCAGCACGAGAGCGTGCTTCTGAGAGAGTTCCTCTCCAAGACGTCTGGCAGTTTGATGTGCCCTGGTCTCAAATGGTTCTGCTTAACTCCCAAGGCAAAAGGGCTAAAGAAGGTGTACTGGTAGCCCAAAAGGCCGGGAGTCCAGCAGCAACTCCTGCTCTACTTGTAGCCACCAAATCTGAGCAAGTGATGGGAAGTAACTGGTTTTATTTAGTTCTCTTGCCAGTTTCGTAATTTTGTTGCATGTCATATTATCCATATTCTCGTCCCTCCTAAAAAAAGAGACTTCCAGAAGTCAATTCAGGTGGAACTAGACTTTCAAGCATTTGTAAGCTAAAATTGGCTGGGGTAGAAACCGTTTACATACTCCTCTTCCTCTGCCTTCAATTGCAGTGTGGTTCTAGAATCCATAAATAAGGTAATTCCCCTCCCTCCTCCCCCAGTAAATGAAAAAGGTTTCATAATTTTAAAGAACCGTTACCGTCAGAACTTGGGTACTCCTGTAAAGCCAGAGCAGAAATTTGGAGCTCAGGAGAACTTTATAAAATCCTTTTGGAAGCTGGCTGTGTGCTCCTGGGCTAGAAGTGTTCTGAAACGGGGATGCATCTGGGCACTAACAGGAGGAGATGGGAGACTCCCTCTTGTGGCTGCATGAGGCTGATCGGCGGCGTCTGCGGGAAGATTGTGTCATCATGAAAGTCCTGAGGCTGCTTCACTATTGCTATGGGAAACTTCGTTAGGTCTTTTGTCTTTCCTGCAAAAATCGCTTGAACATTGTCTCAACTCGGTACTGCCTACGTAGGAAAACTCTTGAATTGAGTACAAAGTGAGAAGAGGAAGAAAAAATGGTTTGAAAACTTTCTGATCATCTCAGTCACAGTTGATGTGACTTAAGGAAGTTAAGGGAGAGCCAAAGTAGATGGAGGTGGTTGGGAAATCCCAGTGTAAATTATGTTTGCTTCTGTGAATCCAGAGAGAGGGTGTCCCTGGGGCTGCAGAGAGCAGGATGGTTCTGAACCTGCGGGGCCAGTGCTGACTGTGTGACAGGCAAACACGGGAAGCAGGTTGATGGTGATATTTAACTTCATGTAAAAGCACATTGTTTCTTTTTCTTAGGAATAGACATGCAAAAGCAGATGCTGGAAGGGGGTTAGTTCCCAGACACCAGAAGCAGGTCAGCAATGCAGCTCGCTTGACGGTGCAGGGGTTGTCCCTGGCTTTGGTCTCTGCTTCGATGAGTTTCTCCGCTCCCTTGCACGTGTTGCAGAAGCTTTGGCAAGCGTAACGCGTGTGTCGGTGCAGGTTCCTCTGGTGTGGGATGTCTGTGCTTGGTGAGAGCAGGATGAGGAGCGCTGCGTTGCCTGCGCGCTGCGAGTCTGCCTGGCTGCTTGATTGCTGCTCTGGACTGCCACAGGGCTGGGACGGAAGCAGAAGCTGCTGGGACACGAAGAGCTTTGCTGTACCTGACCAGATCCAGGAATAAGGGCTCAAAGAAAATAAATGAGAGCATTTAATAAGGTAAAAGCTCTTCTGTCTTGCCTTCATCCCGAGCATCTCCCCAATGCTGCTGCCTGTGGAACAGCCTAGATCACCTTTGTCTGTTGCAAATCCTGAACAAAAGGATATCCCAACCTGCGTGCTCCTGAGCTCTCGGCTGGGCTGGCAAGTGCAGATGGTTCAAGTGAGCGTTTCGTTCACGCTGTGTTCTGCAGCACAGAATGGCAAACAGCTTTTGCTGCTCTGATAGGGTTTAAATTAATTTCTCCCTTCTCACCAGGGGAAATGAGGGCTGGGAAGAACGGCCATGCCTGTTGCTTTGTTAAGCTTGGCTTTGCCTCCGATTCTGGCACCAAGAAAGAAAATAAAATACAGGGAAGGGGAGCTTTAGAAAAGAGCTATGGGTCTGCTACCAAGTTGATAGGTTAAACCATACAAATCCCTGACTCTGAGGCATTGCTCTAATATTTGTAAAATCAGCATGGCAGCTCTGTCAAGGGCTATGAGTCACCCTGAGGGTGGTTCAGCTCTTTACAACTAGTAGCACAGCCTTCTGCTTCCATGCAAACGGGAGCGAGAATTTTAATGGAGTCAGAATTACCCCTTTGGTTACAGCACCGTCTGACCTCGGCTTTGTTCTCGCTGCCTCCCGCGTGGAGCGGAACCTGACCCATCTTTGCCTGGAAGAAAAGGGCTGGATGGAGCCCTGAACCGTGAATCACATCAGTTGTAACCATGCCCCCCTGGCTCCCTCCGGCCTCCCGTGTCCGAGCTGTGCCCGGCCGCTC